TAATTGATTACTGTAATCAAAATTGTAATCATGATTACAGCTGTAATCAAAATTTTTTGAAAGTTGTAATCACGATTACAAGTAATTGATTACTTGTAATCGTGATTACAAGTAATTGATTACATAGCTGTAATTATCTGTAATCAATTACAGTTGTAATCGATTACTGTAATCAACGGCCAACTCTGGTAAGTTGCTTAGTTTTAATTCGAAAAAAAAAAGGGACGAAAAATTATAAAGCTACCATTTGCAGATCTAATCCGTATTATATTGTGTTATAGATGTAATTCATTAGGCTAATTCAAAAGAAAAGACATTTTAAATCATAAAAATCAAATCTACCCACTTTGCTGTCTAATTATGCCATAGGCATGTTTGTATAACAGTAGGCTGTAATAGTTCTGAATCCTTAAAGAAATATTAATACTATTTTTTAATAAATACTAATTTCGAATGGTATCTTTTTTTTTAAATGTACAATTGGAGTTAAACGTGTTTTAGTTAAAACTATATTTTATAAATCAGCATTACGTAGTTGGCATAAGTTACGTAGTTGAAATCCAAAGTCTTTTTTAATTAAAATAATGGATTTTTTAGTAAATATGGCAGAACTAGGAAACTATTACAAATATATTGCATTGAATTCATTTGCATATCTTTTTAATTAACTTAAAAGACAAAATTGTTTAATTCATGTAATTTTAAAACACAAAATATTCAATTTGATTTAAAAGCGGTCAAGCAGCTCTCGAGTAATGACAATTTAAAAATCAACCGAAATCATCAAGTTTTGAATTTTGTCATTTAAGCTTATATAGTTTAAAATTCTATAAAAAGTTATAAACCTTTCAATTAAAAATGTTTTAATTGTTAGAAACCATTTTAACATAAAGTTATCTTCTGTTCGAGCAGTTTTTTGTTGTTTGTGTTGGCAGTTATGATGAGCCAAGATGAGAAATATTTAACTTGTTACGTTTTAGTGTACTACTAGTGTTTTTTTTTATTACATTTTAGTGCCTGATTTTAAAAATTAATTATTATTTTAGCTCTACTCTGTTAACCATCAAGGTTGGTTTTTAGTGTATAAATGCATAAAAAATCTTATCACTAGAATAACAATTATTCAGGGTGGCTGTTTTTTTTTTTTTTTTTGGTTCATTATGCAATCACCTGAGAAGTTAGATAACATAATTTTTAGAAATATTTATAAGAATTATATATATCTGTAAGGATTATACATGTAATGTCGATATTAAAAATTATTTTAGATAAAAATTACAAATTTAAATCCCATTTTTATAATTTTTATACACTGAAGTAAAATGCAATTTTCAATTAAAACTTAATTTTTGCTGTGAATACTTAATTTACATGAATTTATAACACACATGTGTATGCTTATTTAACTTTTCTAATTTTAAAAAAGATATGGATTGTCAATGTAAATGAAAAGGAAAAACTAATTTTATGTACGTAAAACTCTATTTTTCCCAATCGTTAGTCTTTTTACTCACACAAAGTTTGAAGAGGATTGCATTATAGGATGTTCTGGAAAAGTGTCTGCTTCTTTAAAGTTAAAAAAGAACTCTGTGTGGTCAAAAGCATCCCTGGATGGCGTACAAACTTACACAAATCGTCTCCAAAAGCATCGCTTCCTTGTATCTCTCTGTATACTCAAAATATTTCAGTCATACTTGTGAAACGTAGTAGTTTCCTTTCAAGTTTTACCAAAACATCGAAATTCTATTAGATATGTTTTGTGGTTTCCCTGGGAGCAATAAATTTCAAGAGATACTGCCAGTCTATTTAACAAAGTTAATCGATCTTCTAGTTTCTTATCTCTTTCCCTGCATTTGTGAAAAGATTTTAAATTTCTTGAACTTGGTCAAAAGGAAGATTTTTAGGCCAAAGCGAATGAAGATTTGAATAAAGGGGGGGGGGGGGNGGGGGGGGGGAGAGAAGTACTAAAAACAACTATAAAAATTAATTTTTTCTAAAACTCTTAATAAATTACTTCTGTTTACTCTATCTTTATGAAGAAAAAAATTTTTTTTTCTTCATAATTCATATAAACGAAGTTCAAACATCACTTGAGCATAGGTATTCCCCCCCCCCCTCCATTTCAGGGGTGAATGATTATTAAGATGCCTCTTGCCTCAATCATTTAGCGACTGGGGCCCCAACTATATGTCGTTCCCCATATTTATTTAAATTGTGATGTATTAAATCATGGCTTTGGTCTGATTCATTTAATCAAGTTCTAAAGAAATATTTTAATCATGATGCTGGGAATGAAACGAATTATTATAAAGAATGTTCTTAAAGTATGTTAATTTTATCAATACTGATTTTGTTTTTATTGACCAAGGGGTCTGGAGCCCCACCTAGTCACCCAAAAGGAGAATCCACCACAGGACCGCGACTTTACACATTGTCGACTCCCGGGCACCTCCACTCGCCGCGGTTTTATTTGTCAACTGTTTCACCGCCTTATCTAGTAACCCTCACTCAGAGGCAACCCTACGCTCGCCGCAGTACAGTAAGTAGGGTGCTTCGGTAT